TTATATTTGGTTGAAGGTGGTCCCTGATCGTTAGGGGTGGTCTGGCAGCATGATCGAATGAGTTTTGTTGTCACAGGAAGGTGATTTAAAAAGTGCAAAATTGGGGTATTGGCAGAAGTAGGGAATAATGAATTCACTAGTAAGAGAAATGGCTGAAAATAAGGAAAGAGGGTAAATGAAGAGGAACATTGGGGACGGAGGGACAGTGCCAAACACAGTTGATTCTGGTGTTGTAGTGTTATTGGCTGTGTAATCAGGTTTAATTTGTTCTGATTTTCCATAGCGGAAATATTCCTGCTTGCGTGCCTTGTAAAATGAAGCCAACTCTTGCCCCAGCAAGCAATTCGTCCTGTCAACCTGCAGCTCTGCTGTGTGGATTTGTGCAATAAAGGCATGAGAGCGGTGCTGGGCCAGACAGTTGCTCAGGAGCAGGAACCTGCCCACATTGTGTGAAGTCAGGAGGTTCCTGGAGTCTTTGAGTCTGTCTGAGCTCTGCGAGGTACTTCACTGGTGTCGTGTAGCTCGCAGTTGTTTTGCTCTGGAGATGTGGCAAAGCCAAAGAAGGTATGTATGTTAGCTGCACGGTCTCAGCTCCGCCTTTTCACAAGGCTGAAGCATACCCATGTCCTTCCATCAGCAGATCAGGAGAACCTGATTTTGCACATCTCTTGGGCATGGGTTTCCTGGTGGTTCCCCTTGGGAAGAGCCATGCAGCTTGCACTCTCCGTTCGCTTGGACCAAGCCAAATGCAGAGCAAGCAGTGTATGACGCCCCTTTTGCTGAATAGACTTGGGAACGGCATTTGGATTTAATTATCCAGTGAGCTTCAATGCTTGTTTGAATTTTGCCTGAACTGGCTGCTCGTTTCCATGGAACAAAGTCCTCCACCCTTCCAGGGAGTCAGCTTGGAGACCCCGAGAGCAGCAATTAGGATGGGCAAGAGGACTCGTCTGGAAACCATCAGACCCTGTGCGAAGCTGTCTGGAAGAGCACCGGGAAATGTCCGTTTTGCAATCGATGATGCAAATTCTGCTTCTGCTCCGACGCTGCCTCGAAGCGTGGTGTGAGGTTTCTTCGCTTTGTTTTGAATAGTTGGGGGTTCAGCTCTAGTTGCTCTGATGTTGCAGCTCGCTCGGACTAAAAACCACATAGCTGTTTGAGCAAGTAACTAATTTCTGCTTGTGCTTTAAAAAGTGTGTTCTGATATGCAGCTGTTTCATGCTCCAAAGGCATACCACAACCTTTCGTGCTTGTATAGGAAGAAGCTTTCTTATCTAGTGTTGTAGCAATTCTCATAGTGATGGCATGGATTTGTATTTCATGTTTTGGCAGATGGGGGGAAAAAACCCTCTAAAATGCACTCCAGAATGCTGTTTAATATCTGCTTTTTAGTAGATGGAGAAGCAAAGAGGCAGAGTTGACAGCCTAACTATAAGAAATATATTTTCTTCTTCTTTTTCCTTCTGGGACCTCGTTTAGGACAGCTAGGGCCCAGTTTTGATGCTACTGGTTGTAGGCTGCATAAGTGCCTTTCTGCAAATGGGTTAAATTTAGCCAGTTACTGAAAGCAAGTGGGCTCTTCTTACTTTGCAGTGTTGGGAGAGCTGCAAAAGGAAGCCCCTGGCAGACTCTTATCTTGGCTTTTCTTAGGAGACTTTAACAGTCGTCCTGGTGGGGACATAGCCCCGGTGATTTTTAAACCCAAATCTGGCAGGCTCAAAAGGTGACAAAATTGATGGGTAGGTACAGGGGGAAAGATACAGTTACAGCTCTGAGAAAAGAATAATATAAACTCAGTCCTTACTGAACATCAGAAACGCCCCTGGATTTTCAAGCAAAACAGAAATCCCCAGGACGACGCAGTGGTCTCATCTCCAGTCGCTTACACAGTGGCTCCGCCTGCGTTCCCAGAGTCCTCATATCTCTAAAGAAAGACCTGGGAGAAACTGGATGACTCTCCTGAGTTAAAGCACCCCCCTGCTCCTGTCTGCTGTCCTGGGATATGGTTGCAGGGCATCCGTGGCTTAGCCCAAAATCGATCTCATTGCAGACCCTGCTGGGCACGTCCAGGGGTGTCTCCAAAAATGGGAGAGCGGAGGCTGGCCAAGGGGTTTTGCTAGCAGCAGCCCAGCTGTGCGGTGGCAGGTGGGAGTCCTGCTCGGCTGTGAGGTTGCGGACAGCGCTCCGGGGCAGCGAGTTCGGGAAAGTCTTGTTGTCACTCAGGCTGGAAGAAGGAAAAAAAAGAGGGGAGAGAAGGGAGAGGGTTTTTTTAGTGATGATGGTTTTGGTGGAAAGTTCCTGGAGGGCAGTGTGTGGGTGTTTGTGTTGTTGTTGTTGTGTGATTAAACTCGTTCTCCACCATGAAGCTTTTTTTTAAAGTTTTTATTTTTTATTTTTTCCTACAAAAAAATCTCTGGAAAAATATTCTTTTCCCCAGACGTCCCTTAAAAAAAAAATGTATGGGAAAATTCTAGGTCTCTTGTTCTTTCCTGAACTGGAAATGAAAGTGTGGTGGGTTTTTTGTTTTGGCTGGTTGATTTTTTTACACTTTCTTGAATGCTATAGGGTAGCATTTCAGGCTATGCTCCCTCCCCTGCCTGTTTTCAATGGAAAGGGAAAGATGGAAGGGGAGTGGAACTGCGCTGTCAATATATATTTATACATGTGCTTTTTATATACATGTGTGTGTATATATATATATATATATAAAATACACACACACACATTCTGCCTGCTGCAAGAAAATTATTTTCTGAGCTCTAAAATGAAAAGGACCCTGTATTTTAAACACTTGCCCCCCACCTCCCCATTTTTTTCCCCATTGTTTCTCTAATGAAATGGTGCTGGGTACGCAGCATGCATGAGAAATCCCTTTTTGTTGCAGGGTCAGTCCTGATATAACCTAGCCACACATGACAGAAGAAGAGTAGAAAAAGAGGAGGTGGTGCTGCATCTGAGCATGAGGATCCAGGGAAGGTTTTTCCCTGGGAAATGAACCTCAGTATTTGGACCCAGCCCCCATTTTGGATTTCTTATAGTTTTTGTAATCTCTCACGTATTTGCAGACTTTGAGTTAGATCTACAGGCCTATTCTCTTCCTGGAGACACTTGGTTTTACACAGAATGCAGTAGCTGTATTTGTGTTTATACAGTAATAAGCTGCATGTGCCTGATGCCTGTCCCTCTGGACTGTATTATGACCATGGCAGCATGCAACAGGTTGTCACTCCCTCCTAATGGGTATACCGTGCCCCAGGTCCTTAATCGATCTTTTAGTGATAGTAGTTGGTATTTCACAAAGAATAGTGGAGGCTGGAAAGGACCTCTGGAGATCATCTAGTCCAAGCCCCCTGCTCAAGCAGCGTCACCTAGAGCGTGTTGCCCAGGATTGCATCCAGGTGGGTTTTGAATATCTCCAAGGAAGGAGACTCCACTACCTCTCTGGGCAACCTGTGCCAGTGCTCAGTCACCCTCACAGGAAAGAAGTGTTTCCTCATGTTCAGACAGAACTTCCTGTGCTTCAGTTTCTGCCTGTTGCTTCTTGTCCTGTCACTGGGCACCATGGAGAAGAGCCTGGCCCCATCATCTTCATAGCCTCCCTTCAGATACTTATACACATTGATCAGATCCCCCCTCAGTCTTCCCTTTTCTAGGCTGAACAGGCCCAGCTCTCTCAGCCTTTCCTCAGAGGAGAGATGCTCCAGTCCCTTCATCATCTTAGCAGCCCTTCACTGGACTCACTGCAGGAGCTCCATGTCTCTCTTGCATTGAGGAGTCCAGAATTGGACACAGCACTCCAGGTGAGGCCTCCGCAGGGCTGAGGAGAGGGGCAGGATCACCTCCCTTGACCTGCTGGCAGCACTCTGCCTAATGCACCCCAGGATCCCATTGGCCTTCTTGGCCACAAAGGCACATTGCTGGCTCATGCTTAACTTGTTGTCCACCAGCACTCCCAGGTCCTTCTCTGCAGTGCTGCTTTCCAGCAGGTCAGCCCCCAGCCTGTCCTGGTGCATGTGGTTATTCCTGCCTAGGTGCAGGACCTTGCACTTGCCTTTGTTGAACTTCAGGAGGTTCCTCTCCGCCCATCTCTCCAGCCTGGCCAGGTCCCTCTGCATGGCAGCACAGCCCTCTTGTGTGCCAGCCACTCCTCCCAGTTTAGTATCATCAGCAAACTTGCTGAGGAGGCACTCTGTCCCTTCCTCCAGGTCACTGATGAAGAAATTGAACAAGATTGGATCCACTATTTACCCCTGAAATGCAATAGTTTATAGCTGGTTTAAAAGACCATGACCATAGATGTGAAAGTGTTAAAAAGGAGTGGATGGGTTTCAGATCCAGTGAGTGCACCGAAATTCTTCAATTACAGCAGAAATCAGAAATTCTCTATTTCCTCTCAGCGCATGTCTCTCTTCCATCCCGGACAGTTGGATTTTGTTGCCTTTTCTGCTGGGTTTCTTGTCCTTTCCTCTTGTTTCCCACCAACTCCTGTTCTGACAATCCATTGCACCTCTCGAGCATCTTAAATGAAGTCTTGGAAATGAAGGGGAGATGAAGAACCAGGTTGTTCTCCCACCGCTCCCTGCATGAGCTCACTGGGTCCTGAAAAGTTGCCATCCTACAGAACACCCAGCTTGCAGATGGGATCCGGCCCTCCAGACATTGCATTTAACCTACGGGTGTCTCTCCTAAGGGCCCAGAGGGCAGCGGGTGTGGGCTATTGGATGCAGGAGCTGTTGAGGTGGTGGCAGCCCGTGCCCATCTACTGCCTTTTCTAGAGAGCTCTGTCTCTCCTGCGATGAAGAAACCCGTACTTCAGACACGCAGTGGGCTGGGAGGGACTGTGCTGAGCTGTCTTTGAATGCCTCTGTAGTAGGAAGGTTTGGGCATCAGGACTATGAACCATTCAGGTTGAAAGACTGCATGCATGGCACTGTTTTCACTCGGTGCTTTCGGGGGCAAAGCTGCCTGGTCCACTTCAGTTTTCTCTTCTTCTTTCGCAGATGCAGAAGAAGCTCTGAACTCTATTATGAAGGATTTGGCAGCGTTGGGCAAATGCGGCGGGCTCCTGGACAACAACAGGAATAAAAACAGTGTCCACTCCGGCAAACAGGTAAGATGTCTCCGGAGTCCTCTCCAAACTCCAGCAGAGTTTGTCTCTGCTGCAGTAGAGCCTGTCTAAGAGGTAGGCACGGTGCCACCATCAAAACTAGGATTTATAATATTGCTAGTGAGGTGCCACGAGGAGACATCAGATGCTTTTCCCCAGAGCCCGCAGGGTACCATTGCAGCACAGTGCAGCAGGTTGTTTCAGAGAGGGGAGATGGAGGAGTGTGATCCCAAAATCATACCTGATATACGAGCCTGAAACTCATCCTAAATCTTAAATCCCACCCCATGGCGCTTCTTCTGCTTGTTTGGCACTGAATCTAGCAGAATTATTACAGGCTATGCAATTTTAAGATTTGAATTACTCAGATGTTCTTTATTGACAGTGTTGATGAGATTATATTTCTTATGCACACATTTTACTTCAGATAGTTTAAGGGTAGACTGCCAACTTTGAGCTGTAGACACCCAGCCTCTTTTGGGAGGAAGAATATCACTCTTACATAAACTGTATAGCTATTAATTACTGATGTTTATATTCCTAATCCCAAACATTTTGGCCTTGCTATGCATTCAGTTTTGATTTGCAGAGCAAAAACATCGCCCCTTGGACAGTGTGCGAAGTTATTTCACTGACACTGACATAAGAGCTAAGGTAGATTTAATATCCTATTTGCGTATGGAACTAATGCCATAAAACACTAAGGTTGTGCCGAAAGAATTCGGGGGGCAAAAAAAAAAAAAAAAGGCATCTCAGAAGCTGTTGGAGACATATGCACGCAAATTCACTTGGAATTCCACTTCTGATGCTATGGTTTAGAATAAGCTTGTAGTCAGCTTTGCAGTCGCTGAGGGCCTAGTAAGCATGAAAACAAGTTGTCATTTACAATTGTCAGGCATATTTTAGTGGCACTTGTGCTAGTAAAAAAGAACTCTGGACGCCAAAGAGAAAAATCCTTTTCCTGAATCCCTCTAGGCTTCCTAGACACATGCAGAAAAAAACACATGCGCACGTAGCCCGTCTGTTTAAAAGCGTGTCCTGGCGGTAGCAGCTGTCCAAGTTGAATCGCTGGAGTTGTGTTCAGCTCATGCTGAAATACGTCCAAGATGTTTACAAAACTGACCAGAGAAATTTGGAGTTGGCTTTCTGCAGCTGCAGGCAAATTGGACAATCCAGCACAGCCGGGGCTGGCTCACAGGGTAGCATTTGCTGCAAGTTGTTGGGTGGGGACCATACCAAGCCATTTCAGGATGCTTTTGAGCAAAGCTTTTGAGACTTTTCTTAAATAACATATTTGCTTTTTTTTTGTTGCAAAGGGAGAAAATCCCTGCTGTCATTTTTGAAGGCTGTAGCTATACAGTATATATACAGTTAACCAGATGCTTACTTGGAAACAAGGAAAATAAGGTTTCATTGGGTGAATCATTCAGTACAAAAGTTACATAAAACTGTAGAAGAATCTTGCATTTGCAACCCATCCACTCCTTATCTCCGTTTATAGATCACCAGTAGGATTATGCTGTTCTCTGTTGAAAGCTTTAGGATTGTTGGCTGCCACTTGCGTTTAATTTTATTACGCTGGGGATCAAACCATTCTTCCCAATTATGGCACTGGTGCTTGGGAGAACATTACTTCCTTCGTTGTTTTTCTTTTTACCTATAACCAGACCAGCTGTAGCTGTGTGCTCAGAGTTACCCAGAGCTCTGTGATGGAGGAAGTGCAAATAGTGAGCGTCCTGCTTCTCTCACATCCGGGGCTGAGGATTCAGACCGACCGGCCCCACGAGATGAAGGGCGTTGGAGTGTGCTGAATTGTTGCTTCACTTAGTTGGACTAGCTGGAACAAGTCTGGCTCGCGGGATGATCGAGTCTCGTCTGCGAGGTGGGGAGTGGCTGAAGGAGGTGGAATTAGTGGCGACTTGGTTCGTGTTTGCAGCTCAGAAAGTTTTAATTGACTTGTTTGGGACGCTTGTTTTTCCTTGTTTTCAGCAGAGTTTGGCGGAGGAAAAGATTGCTTTGGAAGTGCTGCTGTTATCCCTAGGATTGGTTGTTCCTTTAGTACTTGGTGTTCCCCTTTTTCTGCTTGACCAGGTTGTCTGGTTGGGCTGAAGGATGCACTGCGCAGTCTCCCTGGAGAGGAAGGGTGAGCCATGGGGCATTTAGATGTCTAAATTCTCCCCTTAAGGGACATCAACAGTGAGATTCCTGTGAGGCCCTGCAGTAGCACGTTGACACTGAAATACTTGGTCTCTAGACATTCAGTTCTTAGATTAAAAGCAAGCAAACAAACAAAAAACAAAAGAGAAGTTTTTTTCTGTGGAAAAAATACTTTTCTGAGGCAGGGGAATCCTTTAATCCCCGTTCCAATTTTCCACTGAGGAACACTTTAAACAGAAAGGTATTCACTAACTGTCTTTTTGTGGCTTGCAGCATTTTTTTTGGTCCACGAAGAAGCCCAACAAAAGTGCTACCTCATCTCTCTCTCTCCCAGTAGTTCCTTCAAGCCCTCTTGACAGAAGATGAAATTTTGAGCCTGTCGTGTAGTACTGCTGGTAAGACTGGGCCACACAAGAAAGCAGTCCGCGTTGGTGTGTCCTACACAATATTTCTTCCTGAAGATATTGAGAGCTCTGTTTCAGATCATTTTTTTGAAGTGAGCCTATCCCTAGACAAATGGCTTAAAAAATAGTCTTATTTTTAAAATGTTCTTTTCTTGCAAATGAGGTTTGAACTGAGGCTAATTTCTGCATGTCCAATGCTGCATAGTAGAATACTATACTAAGCCAGAAATGGGAATAATAATACCTGGTGCTTGATGGGGACGGTTTCTTCTCTTAGATTGCCCAATAGACTAGCACCAGATGTGGTAGCTGAGCTCGAGTCTCCTCAGCCGTGGTCAGATGCGCCAGCCATCGCATTACGCTGCCCTTTGGCTGGTGAGAACGAGGCAGAGAAACGGAGGTGGATGCCCTCGTCCTGCTGCATGTGAGCCATCATCTTTAAAAGGGAGTCATCCTCTGGGAACAGAGAGGTCGTCCTGACGTTATTCCTGTTGCATCCTCTGGCGTGACAGGAGGGAGTCCTTTCGGATGGTCTCATGGCCTGAACGGACCGAGGAGTTTGGGTATAGTGGTTGCTCTGTCCGTATATGGTGGGAGAGAGAGGAAGGAGGAGGCAGCATGAGGAAGATGTACATTGCGTTCACTTATGAAAAGGATGAGTGGGATAAGAAGTGAGACCACAAGGAATTAGAAAACCCAAACAAAAGCACGGGGGAGAAGGAAGCAATGATTGTGAACGTTTATTTTGTGTCTGTCTATTTATGTGCGCGTTCATTTATTTATATAAATAGCACTTGGCAACTGGCAGAACGAAGTTGGTTGTCTGTGCTGCGCCTTGCTGCAATGACAAGGCATTGGCGGGGGCCTCTATCACAGCTGATGACAGCTAGCGAGTCCTCTGCCACATTAATTTTGATTGCAAGCTCTCCCACGGCAGTAAAGTCCAATTTTTGTGAGGAATGTTTTCCCAGGCACAGGACAACAAATGTCAGACTGACCTAGAAGTTGTTCTTTCAGCAAATTACCTTTCGACTGTCTTTGCTCTTGCAAGCTGGACGCAGGACAAGGCACGCTTATAACTAGAAGAAAGTATAGCTCATGTTCTAGGGCTCTTCGTCTGTTGGATCTCCAAGCAGCCTAAAGGATGTTGGCATTATCCCTTCTGGTTTACGGTTGGGGAATATGATGAGAATCCCTAAATCTCTCCTGGAAGATAGGGGTTTCTGCTAGGGGAGCTGCAGGGATTGTCACCTGGGGGCAGAAGCAAGGGACCCAGAGGAGCTCTGGAGGCGAAAAGCTTAGCCGGAGATGGCAAAGGCAGTGGAGGCTTGGGGATTTGGGAAAGAGGCTTTTCTGTGTGAGTGTGTGGAGCCGACTTGGATGCTAAAGTGATAATACCTGGGAAAAATCCACCTGGGGAAAAGCTGTTTGTTATCAGATAGGTGGTACTGGATAAACATTTTGTGCTGCTATATAAATCAAAAATATCAGGGCAGCAAGGAGCCGTGAACCCCTTAGTCATCTTTCTGCTGGCCTCCGAGCTGCTCACGTGTTGGGCTTTCTTTTGGGGAGGAAAAGGGCTGTAAGGACCCAGGAGGACCTGACTACCTCATAGCTTCCACTTACTGAAAGGAGAAGGGGACAATCGCGGACAAAAACCTTTTTGTGGCGGATTGCTGAATAACCCGAAGAGCGTGGGGGGGTTCTGCGCGGATCCTTCCTAATGCCGCGGATTAGTCATCTCCTATTGTGGTTTAGGGATGCGGGCCAGCTGTCTGGCTTGTAACGAACGTCCCGTCGCTAAAAGCAGCGGCGAGCACAGGGCTAACCCAAACCGCTGGCGAGGTGCGGGAGCCCCCTCGGCCTGGCTCTGGGGTGCTGTTTTTTCTTGACCGGAGCCAGAAGTGGAGGAGAAAACCCACCGCTCTGAGTTGTACGGAGGGGCGACTAGAGCTCGAACAGCTGAGCGCCAAAGTGTTTTGTGGGTGGTGGTGGTGGCTGTTGTTGTCTTCCAAAGCTAACAAGCGGGAAACGAGAGGGAGAGGGGGGTGAAAGTAATCGGTCATCGTATCCTCCCGCACGCAGGAAGGGATCCCTGTCGTTGCCCCCGTTTTACGGAGCGGGGAGACGGAGGCGGAGGGGCCGCCCGAGGGCGGGCGGCAGCGGGAGAGCAGAGCTGGGGCGAGCCCCTCTGCGCTCCGCGCCCCTTCCATCCCCTCGCAGCGCAGCGGCCAAGGGCAGAGGAGGCCCCCGGCCCTTTGCCGTGATGTTTCTGCCTTTCCTGACCTGCGAGGGGTTAACGCTGCAGTCGGGCAGTTCTGTCCCGGCTGGTTTTGGGGAGCGACCCTTGGTTTGGGTGGAAGGAGGGATGGAAAAACCCTGTCCTCGTGCTGTCCCGGCGTGGGCAAAGCTCTTCCCTGGGCTAACTGTAGAGACGGTTCCGGAAAACGCCGAAACGTCTGGAAGGAGGAGAGGCCGCGACGACGTCGAGCAGGAACTGGCAACGCCAAGCGGGCGCTGGAGTTCGCAACGTGCGGAAAGCGGGGAGCTACCAAAACCGTGCGTCGAGCTGCTGGCCGTCTGCCTACCTTAACGCCCCGAGCTTCCCCCAAACCCGGGCCACGCGGGCGACGAGAAATCGCAGCCGTGTCCGAGACCCCCGCTTTCGCGCCTGGGCTGTTGCCTTCGCCGGGTGCTTCCCGGGAGAGTCATCGCCGGCTGGGCGCGCGTGGAGCCCCGATCGCCTGGGCCCCGCGGGTGTTTCGCCCGTTGGAGG